GCAGTTCTTGGTTGATGCACCTGATATGATTGAGAAGGTCCTTTCAACGGAGCAGGATCCTTCTGCCAAGCGAAATGCATTTCTTATGCTATTTACTTGTGCGCAAGATCGGGCTGTTAATTATCTCTTGACCCATGTTGATAGGGTTTCTGAATGGGGTGAATTGCTTCAGATGGTTGTGTTAGAGCTGATCCGTAAGGTTTGCAGAACAAATCGTGCGGAGAAAGGGAAGTATATTAAGATTATTATATCTTTATTGAATGCCCCATCAACTGCAGTTATTTATGAGTGTGCTAGCACGCTTGTTTCTCTGTCATCTGCTCCCACTGCCATTAGAGCTGCTGCTAACACTTACTGTCAGCTTCTTCTTTCTCAAAGTGACAACAATGTCAAGCTTATTGTACTAGATCGGCTGAACGAGCTCAAGTCTTCTCATAGAGGTATTATGGTTGATTTGATCATGGATGTGCTTAGGGCACTTTCGAGTCCAAATCTTGACATCCGGAGGAAGACACTTGATATTGTTCTTGAGTTAATAACTCCCCAAAATATCAATGAGGTTGTTCTTATGTTGAAGAAGGAAGTTGTGAAGACTCAAAGTGGAGAGCTTGAGAAGAATGGAGAATATAGACAAATGCTCATTCAAGCTATTCATTCCTGTGCAATCAAGTTCCCAGAAGTTGCAAGCACAGTTGTGCATCTTCTTATGGATTTCTTGGGCGACAGTAATGTTGCTTCAGCTATTGATGTTGTGATTTTTGTTCGAGAAATAATTGAGACCAACCCTAAACTTAGGGTCTCCATTATAACAAGGCTATTGGATACATTCTATCAGATCCGAGCTGCACGGGTTTGCTCCTGTGCCCTTTGGATTATTGGGGAGTATTGCCTATCTCTTTCTGAAGTTGAGAGTGGAATAGTAACCATCAAGCAGTGCCTCGGAGAACTACCTTTCTACTCTGTTTCTGAGGAAGGGGAAGGTACTGATGCTTCTAAGAAAACTCCGCAAGCAAACTCCATTACTGTTTCCTCAAGGAGACCGGCTATTCTTGCTGATGGTACTTATGCAACCCAGAGTGCTGCCTCTGAAACTGCTTTCTCTGCTCCTACTGTTGTTCAGGGATCATTGGCTTCTGGGAATCTCAGATCTCTTCTCCTCACTGGTGATTTTTTCCTCGGGGCTGTTGTTGCTTGCACGCTGACTAAACTTGTTCTGAGATTGCAGGAGGTACAGTCATCAAAAGTTGAAGTTAACAAAGCAACCACGCAGGCATTGCTGATCATTGTCTCTATGCTGCAATTAGGACAATCTTCTGTTCTTCCACACCCAATTGATAATGATTCTAATGATAGGATTGTTCTGTGCATAAGATTGTTGTGCAATACTGGTGATGACATCAGGAAAATATGGTTGCAATCTTGTCGTCAGAGTTTTGTAAAAATGCTGTCAGAGAAACAGCTGCGAGAAACTGAGGAATTAAAGGCAAAGGCTCAGGTTTCTCATGCACAACCTGATGACCTTATTGATTTCTACCATTTGAAGAGTAGGAAGGTGAGAGCCTTTTAATTGGTTGTTATCTTTTGAGCATGATTTAACATCTTGATTTATTCCAAGTTTATTAATCCTTATTTGGTCATATATGTATTTTCTTAAGCATGCATTTTGTTTGTTTTGCTAGAATTTTCTGCCTTATCACCTTGTTTTTTCACATCTTTGGGTTTTGACTCGTATTTTTAATTCTTTCTTGGATTTTTGTCATGAATTCTTGTACTTGTTTTTGAAATCTTTTGTTGCTGACTTCCAGGGTATGAGTCAACTGGAGTTGGAGGATGAGGTTCAAGATGATTTAAAACGTGCAACTGGAGAGTTTGTAAACGATACCGATGATGCAAATAAGCTCAACCGCATTCTTCAACTTACCGGATTTAGTGATCCAGTATATGCTGAAGCCTATGTCACTGTCCATCACTATGATATTGTTCTTGATATCACAGTTATCAATCGGACCAAGGAAACCCTTCAGAATTTGTGCTTAGAGTTGGCAACAATGGGTGATCTGAAACTTGTGGAGCGTCCACAAAATTATACCCTAGCTCCTGAATCTAGCAAGCAAATAAAGTCCAACATCAAGGTCTCGTCAACCGAGACAGGTGTCATATTTGGCAACATTGTTTATGAGACATCAAATGTGCACGAAAGAACTGTTGTTGTTCTTAATGACATTCATATTGATATCATGGACTATATTTCTCCCGCTGTATGTACTGATGCTGCATTCAGAACTATGTGGGCAGAATTTGAGTGGGAAAACAAGGTATCTGTTGAACTCTTTCCATTATTACCAGCTTTTATTCTCAGCAGCATCCCTGATTCCTATAGATATCTGGCCAACATTGACATTCTGCTATAATTTAATATAACATGTTCAATATGCTAATTGGAATGCAAGTTATATTAGCTTGATCTTACACGTAGCTTATGTCCCTTGCATAGTGTTTGATTACCACATATTCCCCTCGTGCTCCTAATTGAGATCAATCTTCTCCCGTGATAAAGCTATAACGGTTCCTATCCCCATTGTCATAACAATATTAATTTTCATTATTGATTTTTGTGATTCAGGTTGCTGTTAACACAGTAATCCAAGATGAGAAGGAATTCCTTGAACATATTATCAAGTCAACCAACATGAAGTGTCTCACACCAGTGTAAGTTTTACGTTTCTGAGAAATGTACATAAAATTAAAAAAAAACCCGATGAGCTGCATACGTTGTGGATTTTACATTTTTAATGCAACAGTGTGCTATATGATTTATATGTCACTTTGTTCTGAAAACTTAATGAATCTTTTATGCTTAATTTGTAAAACAACAAATTAATATTAACATTGATTTCAGAATGCATCTATTTTTTGTGACTCAATATAAAATTAATCTATTCTTTTATATGGCATTCCTTTTTGGCGGTTGGATTGTGTTTCAGATCTGCGCGAGACGATGAGTGTGGATTCCTGGCTGCTAACCTGTATGCAAAGAGTGTGTTTGGGGAGGATGCCTTGGTAAATTTGAGTGTTGAGAAACAAGCAGATGGGAAGCTTAGTGGGTACATCAGGATAAGGAGCAAGACTCAGGGTATTGCTCTCAGTCTTGGAGATAAGATCACTCTAAAACAAAAGGGAGGCAGTTGATGGTGTGCCGGATTTTGACACCATTTGTTTCATCAATACTGGAAATCATTCTTGTTTTGGCTTGTCAGTTGCTGCCTATCTCAATCTCCTTTGAAATACAGAATTTATTACTGATTTAAAAATGCAGGTACTTTTCTTGCATTTTAAAAGATGGCCGCCTTCATTTTAGTTGTGTTCTCTGTATCTAGGGGTAGTACCGGTTTCATGAGTAAATATTGTTGTATTTGGAGTTACATATTTCTACAGACATTGTTTAAAAAAGAAGATACTGCTTTTTGGCGATGTTAAAACAGGATTTCTTTTGGGGAATTCTTTATAATTCTAGTATCGCTCCATATTAAATCATCCTTAATTTTGTGGGTTCATATCCCTATTCTATGGTTTCTGCCTTTTCGGTTCCTCATTTTGCTCGATGTTTATCTCGTTGTCTTACTTGTAAAGAATCATGTACTGTGAAACCTGAAAGCATACTCGTAGCTAGTTGTTTCCAATTTGCGAAACCTTGCCAGTTCTGCAGGTTGATTAGGATGGCGTTATTATGCGCTTATTTCTATATTCCGCAAACCATTGTTGAGTTGTCTTCCAAAATGGTTCTCTGGCCAGGTCGCTTCCAAAATTTCGCCTTATAACAGTTCAGGTTTTCTGAATCTAGTAGGTATTTCTGCTTAGAAATTTGAAGCTTTTCACAGCAGAACTATCGATGTCTACTATCCTTCAATCATATAATCCACAAATTTTGCATGTTCATTGGTAATGATAATCAGCTCGTTTTTTCTTCTTTTTTCCCCTTGGCAGAACAAAGAATATTACTCCATAAACCAAGCCTAAAAACCTAGTAAGCACTTTTACTTACTGCGCAACTTGAAGCAAAAGATAAAATTATTGATGGGTTGTCCATACTCTAAAGACTTCATCTTGCATCAAACATGGAACGAGGATGAGAGATCAGTCACCAAACTGTCACAGCTTCATTTTCATGATTTTTTTAAAGTAAATAAATATATATATATATATATGAAGTTGTTAGGTAAAGTAAACCAAAAAAAATATTTGAACAAACAAGAAGAACTAAAATATACACGAATCAAAAGAGTTAAAACTCAAGGTACAGCATATGCCAATCTAATGATGAGCAATATCATCAAGTTTTGTGTAATTTATCATTAGTTTGTCAAACATTAAAAGTTTTTATATTGTTTAATTTAAATATACATATTCAATCGATCATAAAATAAACTTTGATTATCTCTTTGAAATATAAGTACAATTGAATTGATTGATACTTCAAATGTTTCCTTCATAAAACATTATAATGATAAGTTGTTTAAAATTAATAATTTAAATTATAATATAAATATAATTCAATATTCTATTTAAGTTTTATTTAATTTTAACCTATTACTCGTATAAATATTTAATCTATCCACCTATTGAGTTATGTACGGATAATAAAATGTTTTCCATTATCTTTTTATTTCAACGTTGTATGTGGCTTGATGATTAGATTTAACTACTATGAAAGAATTAAAAATATTATTTAAAATAAACTTGAATCGTTTAGATTATAACAAATGTATAATTCAATATAAATATTTGAAAACAAATATTTAACAAAAATATCGTGCCAAATTCAAACTTCATAATCATATATATTTGAACGTCATCTAAAAACATTGAACCTCAAATCTAAGATATAAACCCTGAAACATAAAATCTATGACTCTAAATTCTATACTTTAAATAAAACATACAACATTACTAAAATTTCACTTGTGAATATTTTTCACCGTTAGTGTATGGGGATTGTTGGGAAAGAGAAAGACATGGAGATTGTTGTGTTGAGAAGAAAAATTGCCTTGCTTTATGAAGCATGTGCTAATTCAGTCTTGGAGATTGAAAATAAAAAAGCTGAGTTATTAGGAAATAATTTGGCTGCTGTAGATCTGATGACTAACATGAAGCCTATAATATTGGTTGATGGAGTACTTTCTTTCGGTGGACAAAATAGTGTTGCCACTGAGGAAAATATAAAGACCATGGCAGATAAACTTTTTTCAACAGTGAGATTTTTCGAGTATGAAAGCTGAAATTACTGAAGGAAGCCAAAGGGAAATGAAAACAACCATAGCAAATTTGCAGAAAGAGCTTCAGGAGAAGGATATCCAGAAAGATAGGATATGCATGGAGCTGTTGATCAAATCAAGTTAGCTGAAGCGTCTGCCGCGAATTACTCACGAGATCTCCAGTCTTCAAAAACCCTGGTGTATGATTTGGAGAAAGAACTGGGAGTAATGAGGGAAGAACAGACTTAACTGCAGCAGAGAGTAAAAGAACTGCAGGATGTGCAAGCCAACACAGTGGAATTGCAGAATAGAGTCAAATCACTGGCAGATGTATTATCATCAAAAGACCTAGGCATGTTTTATTGTTTGAATCCTACTTTTTATTTTCCTTACATATTCATTTGGTTTTGGAATCTTCATTTGTGAATGCTATTCCCTGACAGAAATTGAAGCCCTTATGCAAGCACTTGAGGAGGAGGAGGTCCAAATGGAAGAGTTGACAAAGAAGAACGAGGAACTGGAAAAAGTACTGCTACAGAAGAACACAGATTTAGAGAACCTTGAAGCTTCTCATGGAAAGGCTGTGAAAAAGCTTTCCATCACAGTGAGCAAGTTTGATGAACTTCGTGCTCTATCAGAAAGTCTTATTACCCAGGTTGAACATCTGCAATTACAACTACAAGATCGGGATGCTGAGGTTTCCTTCTTAAGACAAGAGGTCACAAGATGCACCAATGATGTTCTCGCCGCTTCACAAACAAGCAATAAAGAAAAGTCAGATGAGATAAATGAGTTTCTGATTTGGTTTGGATCAATTGTTCCTCTTGTTGGTTTACCTGACCTTCATTTTGATACGAAGAATAGTCAGGTGCCTGAATACAAGGAAATGATACATAAAAGGATTAGTTCTATGATATCTGAACTGCAGGACCTTCGGGGGGTTGCTAAAAATAGGAATGAATTGTTGCAAGCAGAAAGGAGTAAAGTGGAGGAGTTGACGCACAGATAAGAAACCCTAAGGAAGACTCTGCATGAGAAGGAATCCCAGTTAAATTTGCTTGAAGGTGTGGGAGCTGTGGGTCAGGCAGCTCGTTTGAACTCTGAAATCGTGGAGGTTGAGCCTGTGGTAAGTTATTTAGTGTGTTTGCAGTTTTCTTGAGCAGCACGCTGTTAGGACTTAGGACCTTTAGAAAACTAGTGACGGACAAAACTTGGGATGTGAGTGACGAAACCTAACTTTGCTTATCAACATTTCACATTTTACTTTGGGAGCTACACATCTTATCTGGTTGCATGAGAGATGGAATGAGTTCAATCTATAGAATCAAAATTCATATGGCAACTATATAAGCATTTGATAATTTTTCTTCTAAAGAAGACTGTTAACAAATAATAATGATTTTAAAAGTTGATATACACTTTAATCTTACCTCACATTAATAAGTTATGCTTCTGCATAATCAATAGAACGATAAATATATTTATAGATATTGAGTAGTCTATTTTGCTGACTATCTGTGTAGATAAACAAGTAGGCAATAGCAGGGACCTCTACAGCATCCCAAGTTTGTAGTTTGCGCAAAGTCAATACTGATGAAGTTGCTATTCCAATAGATACGGATGATGGTAATAATAGTAGGTTAGAAGATGAAGCGAAGATAAAGGTATCCTTTACTATTTGCAATTTATTTGTTGTATTTATTTACACTCCAAAAGCAACCTTTTCATCAAGTAACTATGTTTATGTAATGTGCCAGGGATTTCATCAATTTATTGGGCTGTATTGCATACACTATCGGCAGCTTTTGTATTTTGACAAGTCAATGTGGTTAGTGGCTCTTTCCAAGATGTATTTATTTCATGTAGTTCTATGAGTGTGCTTCACAAACAAGTTTATCTTTAACCTCCCTGGTTTTCACTGTATATCACAGTTATATACCTGTCAATCCTGTATGAGACTTACGTTATTCTAATTTTCCATCTTGTTTATCGATTCCTTGTCCTCTTTCTTACAAAACCAAGCAGTTTATGTATTTTATGGTTTTGCTTTTGTGCAGGTTTCCCGTTGATTTTGTGAAAAAGTTTAGCGAGGATCGCCAACCATTATTTTGCCTTTGGCTCCATTATCAAATTTCCCGAATTTCTGAGCATGATCCATTGATTCATTTAGCTCAACCAGGCAACTGTGATTTGCAGTTTTTATTTGCATGCACTTCTCAGGTAACTTGGTTATGTCCAATAAGGAAAATTAAAGTTATTGTTACAATTATTTTGGACATGATACAAGGATTATTTAATTTGAACCAACCGACGGTTGTATGATGCTTACTGTAGTTAAGTGATTTGTCTACATGTTATACTACACAAACAGAAATGTTGCATTTTGAATAGTGTTCTGTGTACATTGTTGGCATATATTTTTAGTACAGTTTATGCCAATCTAACCTTTATTTTACAGATTTTCCCCAGTACATTCGATTCTCACTTCTCAATCTATTAAGTGACAAACTAGCAATTTGAGCAAAGGCATTACAGGTTATAAAACAACGTAAGCTTCTAGTCCTTTCATGTAAAATATAAAAAACTAAAATAAATTGCATATATAAAAGCTTTATTTCATACATTAGTAATAATAATCAGGCTTAAAGCCAGCGAAGAGTCGCTTTATCAGAGCTTCTGTATTTGGATATATACACCATGTTCAGGTTCAACAAGCATCCGAAAAACAGGAGAATGGCGATAACTCGGAGATAGAGAGAAAGTAAATTTGGAGACGATAAGAGCTAGAAGAACCTTCAATTGAACCATTGCAAAGTTCTTACCCAAGCACAACCGAGTGCCTAAACCAAATGGGATATAACCTTGTGGGGATTTGCAAGCTTTGGAGACACCATTGATGAATCTTTCAGGCTTGAACTCATTAGCATCTGGTCCCCATATGTCAGGATCCCGATGCAAAGTTGGAATCACAGTCCACATGCACACCCCTTTCGGAACCAAAATATTCCCAATTCGAGTCTCCTCCAGTGCCTCCCTAGTCACAAATGCTCCCGCCGGGTAAAGCCGCATGGTTTCTTGAATCACCATAGTCACCTTCATATAATGGTAGGAACCCACACTTTTACAACTTATAAGAAGCATGCGTGTATATATATGTACGAGAAATGATTAAATTATAAATGTAAAACTTTTTTAGTTTTACATAGATTTAAGGAAGTGAAAATAGATGTTGAGATTAACAGTAAGATATGAGAATATATTCACCGGGAAAAAAGACAGAATTAATCTCAACCATCGATTTTTATTCATCTAACGATCCTAAATTTTCGTAAAAATAAAAAAATTGACATGTGTAAGTAAATCCTAACATTAGCGTGTTTACCATTTTCAATCGAGATATGGAGTCTGCATCAGGCAGGCCATTAGTGAAAACTTTAGCCACCTCTTGTCGAATATGGGATTGCCACTCAGGATGTAGAGCAAGTAGCATCAGGCACCAGGAGGCAGTGATGGCAGTGGATTCATGGCCAGCGAAGTATATATTCTTGCAATTATCAACTATAAACTTCTGCGGCGCCACACTCGCATCATTCACAGCACTTTCTAATATCAGCTGCATTAAATCTTTTTGACCCGAAGATTTGTCTAAGCATTCTTGTTGGCGTTGGTTCACAGTCTCCCAAATCAACAACTCTACTTCTCTTTCTAGAGTGCTAACCTTCTTGTTGTTGGGAAGAAACCTGCGAATACATTGTGTTTTTACTGCATGCAAATCAAAACAGTGGGTGTGCAAATATTGTACCTTGAACTATTGTGACCAAAAAGAAAGCCTTGCTTGGTAATGGTGGTTCGCATGGTCCTAAGCTTGGAAAATATCTGTTTCCCTTTAACATAAGAGCTCCCGAAACATGCCCTTGCAATAACATCGGCTGAAAAGCTCCTAAAATCATCATCCACGTTTATCTCGGTCGCCAGACCGCCTTTTGCATCGATTGCGGCTTCCCATTTTTTAAGCAACGGCACCGTTGATTCCACCATGAGCCCCACCATGCCCTAAGAGATTTATCATTCAGCTTTTAGACTAGTTTCTGGTCCATGATTAAATGGAATCCAAAGTATTTATTTATAGTATTTACCTTAACCTTGTCCATGAAGAACTCTGGCGCAATGATCTTCCTTTGATGGGCCCAAAGCTGGCCATTGGATCTTATAATGCCATTGCCAAGCATGGGTTGGAGTACCTTCGTCATATAAGAATCCTTTCCCAACTGCAAAGTATTCAACTGGTTCAGTTCCTTCAATATCTCCAGGTCGTTTACATACAGGTGTTGCCTTAGCCCCGTCGAATATGTGTATATTTGACCTGCATAATATTAATTTCAACTATTCTTTATTAATCACAATAGCATACATACATACAAACATTAAAAACAGATTCCCGAAGAATGCAAAGACACATTGCTTATCCAAATTATCAGGCACCCCTGAGCACCATCTAATTACGAATATATTTTGTTTAATTATTGATATATGATGTAGTAATCATATTGAAAATCACTCTTCTGTTTCACTTTATTTTATTCTCGACATTAAAATTTGAACTTCTAATCTTACCTAAAAAAAGATAATATTGATCATACTAAACTAACTTATAGTAAATAAAAAAACCATATATCAATACTACATAATACATATAAACGTTATTGTGTTTGTGACATATAAATTAATATTTTGAATGAAATAAATTTTCTCTTGGAATATATATATAGATAGAGAGAAAAGTCCTTAATACAAGCAATCAAATAGTAACAGTATAGTTAGAGATGACAATAGGGCGGGTTGGGTCGGATTCTTGGTCAACTCAACTCGAATCGAAAAATATACATATTCCATTTGAACCCGAACAGAGAATCATATACTCTCTATTAACTCGATTTGACTGGATTGAACTCAAATTTTTGGTGTATAAACTCAATCTGATTCAACCTGACATAAAATAGAGACTTAATAAAAAAGTTACAGAAAAATTGGGTATTATAGTAATTATCTCAAACTTTATAGGAAAAATATAATATTACCTCCAAGGCGAAGATTTTTCATCGTCTACCCGAACTTGACCCGACCCACCCTCATTGTGTATAATATCTTACTCGAAGAATTTAATTTTAAAAAAACTAATTTAATAAGTTCAAGTTAAATTAAAATACGTCAATTTCAGATTAAATTATCATTTCTAAGTATAAATTTCTTCTCCAACGTCTAATTTGTTTTAATTGAAAATGAAAAATTCTCCGATAGAATGAAATGAAAAGAAGAAGAAAAAGATTATGCCACCATTATTTTCCATCCAAACTATGAAAAAACTCCATAAAATAATCAGAAGTAGCATTTCAGTTGGCTTCTTCTTAATTTACTATTTGGGTTTACATGTTACTATCATTTGCATAATACTTGTTTAAAAATTAAAAAATAAAGATACAATTAATGAGGATTAAAGATGGTAGCTACTAGGCTTCGTGTTGGGATTTATGATGTGGGATATCGTGGTATATTAATTGTTGGTCGGTGTAATCAGCTCACGTCTCTACAATCATCACATGAAACATCAAGAGAAAATTGCCGCCCCTCGGTAATAGTTTATGTGTTGGCCTCGTGAAAAATGGGGACATTACATTACTCACCAGTCAAGCTCACACAACTCTCCAAACCCAACATTATTTGCCCCGAATCCTCTTTCTTTAATGCCCTTCACTTACCCCAACCCCATCTATTCCCTACCCATCCTTCTTTTCCATTTATTATGTTTTTGAAGTTATATGATGATTTGTAAATGATGTTAAAATCACTATAATTAATGAGAAAATTAAGTTTGTTGATTATTGGTTAAAGATATTTTAAATGATCTATCTTAGAATGATTAGGTGTTCTCTAAACAACGAGATTCGAATGATATGATGTATATGCAAGACGGTGTTGTGTTCCTTTCGAATACTCACGAAAGTCAAAAAAAGAAAGGAAAAGCAAAAAAGGTGAAGATGTCTCATTCTGAGCCAAATTGTAAGGCGTCAGAAATGGCGGACTATAAAAATAGACATTTCGTAACAAAGCAAAAGTCTTCAACGTTTGCCAAAAATAAACCACCGATACAAAACAAAACACTGGTCTATCACGCAGATTGCAGGAAGTAGAGATGAAAGATGCATTGTTTCTGGCGTATGCATATGCATCAAAGACTGATGAAATGTGTATATGGATCTTACCGTATTCTTTTCTCCAGTGATCAAAGTATGGGAAGAGCGTGGAAGTGTAGTCATGAGCAACGATTTCGGAGTGGTTTCGAGCCTTGCTTGCCTTCAACTCAATTTGCTGCATCTCTTGTAAATTGCCCGACAGAAATGAAGGGGGTGGTCCACTGATGCCTTGCACGCACAGCTTCTTTCTAACCCTTTGAAATCTGAGCCAGCTGCTGCTGTAGTAATGGAACAAGTACCAAACGGCTGCTGCAAGGGCTAACGACAACAGGGTTTTCAACGTCACCAGGAACAACTCCATTTTTCTCGAAGCTCTCAGATTCTAATCTATCCTTTGAGTTTTTCAAGTACTGAAGAAGCCAAGCTTAACATATAATATATATATATATATATATATATATATATATATATATATATATATGAGGGAGGTGTTACTGCTAAGTCAATTTTATAGGAGGGGAGGGACACCAGATGACATTAATGCGAAAGGGATTAGTTTTAAGCGAGTAGACATCAACCTACAAACTGAAAATGATTGGTGGGCCAACATAGGGTGTGAAGTGTACGCTATTAGATAGGGAATTTAAGATTATATTTTATAAATTATTAAATAATATATAAGATTAATTTATCATTTAAATTTAAGATTAATATTTAATATAATGATAATAAAATATTTTAATTTTATAAATAATATTTATCACACGTTTTAAATTCTAAAACACTCATTTCTAATCTATAAATTTTGGACGGTAAATATTAAAAATATGAATCATAACTTTTAACGTTATTATATATATTTAAAAAATCTTCGTTGACTAAAAGGTAATGTTGAAATGTTTAGGGATTCGATGAAATTTGCTTGGAGGCCAAGAACATGTTAACTATTGGATTTGGGGGAATTAACAATGAAAAAAAAACTACATCTGAATTAATTTTAGTAATTTAATCCCTAACTTGTTGTATATAGTGCAAATAAAGTAGCTAACCATTGTATTAATTGATTATTGACTTCTCTTTGTTGGTCGAGTTGTATATTTCTTGAACAAATGCACGCACATGCATACTTTGAAAATAATGACCGTTAAATTATGTAGGGTTCAATCTCTAAGCTCAGGGGCGTTGAGAAATGGATATCAAAATCAATAATATTTCACGCTTCGAATTGTAAACTAAGCTCTTAGACATTGAACATTTCGTCTCATATAACAAATCGCAAAAGAAAGAAAATATATAATTCTCTCTCCTATTTTCTTTTTTAATCTTTCATGTATTATGTTTCTTTTGCTTCGTTGAAAATAATCACCATTATGTTTGTTCTTTAAGCTTTTGTTGCCCTTTCGTGTGTTGTTTTATTGGGATGGATTTGGGCCTCGATGGAAAATAGAAGGTTATTGGACTGTCATAGTCTTTTTAAATTTTATTTTAATGAAAATGTATTTCGTAGATAAAAAAAATGTAAACTAAACTGGAACTTATTTATTTAGCTAGTAATGACTTGTCGGATAATAATATCATTTCGGTTAGATTAAAAATCAAATTTTCTTAATACATAATTTTATAAATTAATTAGATATTATATAAGTCAAATTAAAAAATAAATTTGTTTTATAAAGTTCTACTTTTACATACAATTTTCCATATTAGCTGCCGGGTGGAATTAATTACCATTTTTTCACACCCTTTTCACCAAACCCTGCTTGTTGCCTATATAATATAAGTCACGTGATTGCATTATTTATATTATAATGTTAATTTATATATATATATATTAACAAAAAGAGTAGGGTAGGGATTAGCTCAGAGTTAGTTGTACGAGGGACATACAGATCGGAATGAAATAAAGTTGGATATTGGGTTTGAAATTTGGATCCACCAATAATGCAAATGGGAGGAAGAAGCATGGGAATTATTTTTGAATGATGAATGAGATCTTGGTTCCCGAAACTTCAAAGCTTGTGCTGGCTAACATTACAATATGATATTTTAAATTAATATGTAAATAGTTATTAACTCACCTTAATAATAATTCATAAAGTTAATATACATATTAATTATACTCATTGAATGACTTTAATAATAATAAAAAAAATAGTCATCTTTTAAAGATTTGGGTTTAAGCAGTAACATTTATAAGGTGTGTTATATCAATGATTAAAAAAGATTCTAAACATATATTACCTTGCAATCACTCCATACTAATAGAAATATACACATAAACTCAATTAGGATGTTAAATGTAATTTGGAATTGGGATAGAGATTTGTTTGATGAGGTAAGCTTTAATTTTTGAATCGCATAACAATTTGATATATTTATATTTTTAATATAATTTTTTAACTTTTTCTTCTCAAATTTTATTAATTGTTTTGTGATTTTATATATTATTTAATATTTTGAAAAATTATAAAAGCAACTAAAAAGTAATTATTTTTTAAAAATAAATAAAAATCAAACAATATTTCTTATATGATAATTGTAAGTATTATCAATTAAATCCTTGAATCAACTAATTATAATTGTTATAGTTTAATCAAAGATTTTAATCTTGAATCAACGAGAATACAACAATATTAAGTATTTGATGAGAACTGTATTGTCATGAATTATAAACAATATAAATAGTTTTCATCATTCTAAATATAAAATATTTATTTTTACTATAAATATAAAATATTAATAAAAAACACGTGAGGATAAATTAAATTTATTTAGAAAGAAAAAAAGCATCAACTATATTAAAAACTATTATTTTGTTTATATTATAAAATTAAAATTATATAATATTTTATTAAATTTAAATGATCACGATTTTTAAAATTTCAAATCAAATAAACTTGAAAATACTATTGTTAATTTAGATTTATTTTGCTGAGTAAGCCCTAGTAGTAAGGCCTTGGTTCAACGACTAATCCACTACACACTACAATGGACCCAAATGATATTTACTGGATGGGCTTTTTGGCTAAATGGTTTTCCACTCAAGTACGCTAACTTCCTAATCCACTAGGCCTAGCTCATTAATTCTGCCCTTCACAAGGCAATTCTCCATCCCTAATCCTCCTTTCCCTATAAAGCTCAAAAGCCCTAATTTCACTCGAACTCCAAAAGGCGGAAGCCGTTGTTTCATCCTCTGCGCCAATCCCAACGTACCAGGTTCCAACTTTACATCTTTCTTTCTCCTTTCTAAATATAGTTAGGTTTTGAAATTACTTGTTTTCTTTGTTGAACTTAACCTTGAATAACGTTGGATTAATTTTGTAGCTTTCTTTTGAGCCCCCCCCTGAAAGTAATGTCTCGCGTGTACGTGGGTAACCTTGACCCACGAGTTTCCGAACGGGATCTTGAAGATGAGTTTCGGGTCTTTGGAGTTATTCGAAGGTATAATATTGTTGTTGTACCTTAATTCTTTTCTCATTTCATGAACTGCTATATGATACACGATAATTATCTACCTTTAAGAATGATTTTTTTTGTCGTAATTCCTTCTATTGTTTTCTTTTGATTTGCTGATTTTTATTTGTAGTGTTTGGGTTGCTCGGAGGCCACCGGGTTATGCTTTCATTGAATTTGATGATCACAGGGATGCTGAGGATGCAATTCGTGAATTAGATGGTATTCCAACGAGATCCTCTTGTTTCTGATAATGACACTTGTTCTATCATTAACTTTCTGACCGTATAGATGTGTCCATTTCTCTTTGAAACTGAAAGATGCCAATTTGGCTCTTTTGTTTTAAAAAAATAAATAATGACTTTATTAGGAACTAACACATACTTATCAAGCTTCTCATTTTTTTATTAATAGGCAGCAATTCAGATTTATGGTGAAAATCATTATTTTGATATGCCCTCATTTGCTTTATTACTTTTTGCGGATGAGCTTTATGAAGAATTTGTTTTTTCTAATGTTTACAGCAGCATGTATACATTGGCAGAAGAAGTTTGTGTACACTATTTTGCTCACAGCTGTTTTTCAAATTTTCATAATTGTTAATAACATGGTTCTTATGAAGGGATCATCCTTCAATATACTTGCTATTTGATTTGTTCATCTTTTTCCTTTTTATTTTATTCTTTCACACTTTTAATGCTTTAGTTTATGCTTTAGTATTGGGGGGAAAACGTGAACTTGATGGCATGGTCATACTCTGTGCCTTTTTCAACCATCTGAACAGGAAGTATCAATTTCCCCCACTTAATGGCATTTTTTTTATGAACATAGCTAATCATTTGAGATAAATGTCCCTTACCAGCTTTAATAGTCTGTGTTTGGAATTTGGATCAGGCAAGAATGGCTGGAGAGTTGAGCTTTCTCATAATTCTAGAGGAAGAGGTGGACGAGGAGGTGGAGGTGGAGGTGGAGGTGGCCCGGGACGCTCTAGTGGTTCTGATTTGAAGTGCTATGAGTGCGGTGAGCCTGGTCATTTTGCTAGAGAATGTCGTAACCGTGGTGGTTCTGGAAGACGTCGCAGCCGCAGCCCTAGATATCGTAGGAGCCCAAGCTATGGACGCAGGTAAGGCTTCCTAAGCCAAAACTCATTGCTTTTGTGTTGATTGATTGATAATAACTGATTTGAATTTGAAGTTACAGTCCTCGTGCTCGATCTCCAAGACGTCGTAGTCCCTCTCCTCGTGGACGAGGTTACAGCAAGTCTCCACCATATCGTGGTCGTGAGGAATTGCCATATGCTAATGGGTGAGTTTCCTCGAAATTTATGCTAGTAGCTAGAAAGGCTTTCTTATTGCAATACTTTCACCTATAAATGTCAGTTTTTATCATGCTCACAGCAATCTTTATCTTTGTTTAATTTAGTTTTTTTTTGTATTTGTTATGATGTATGCGTGACATATATTAATTCCGAATTTGGTGCAGAAATGGTGCAAGAGAACGCCGCAGGAGTAGGAGCTAAGTAGAACAAGGATGTAACTTTTGTTAACTGGGCTTAAGTGTGTTTAGTTTGTTTGGACTTCAATGCTACTATTTTTAATTGGGCGACGCCCTCAGCCTCTTGGATTTGGATAAGTTCCTTTCTGTTATTCCTTTTTAATGATGCATTTCTCTACTTTTTCTATGCTAAAACTAGTCTTTTTTATTTGAAGGGAGAAAAAGCTTAAGCTTACCTCTAAAAATTTATTTAGAATTTATTCATAGAACTCTGCTAAAAAAAATCATGCTTTTTTTTTTGAGGTTCTCTTCTGGGTCTGCCTCATTACTTTTCTGCTTCTACACCTAAGGGATTTACTTCTTTGCTGCCCGGCTCTGGGATCTTCAGTGCTTGATATTTGTGGGTCAGGTCCTATTTGGTATCTTCTGCGTCTGCCTCATTACTTTTCTGCTTCTTCACCTAAGGGATTTACTTCTTTGCTTGCTGCCTGTCTATGGGATCATCAATCTTTCATCTTTGTGAGTCCCATTTGGTATGTTCTGCATCCGCCTCATTGCTTTTCTGCTTCTACACCTAAGGGATTTACTTATTTGCTGCCCAGCTATGGGATCTTCAATATGTTCTTTGTTGCCTCTGTTTGAATGAATGAGTCCCTCCAGCTGTGTGATGAACCTACCTCAACCACTAGTGGCATTTATTTGCTTTAGCTTAAATGGGTGCGGAGCTGCATCAAATGCCTTCTGGCAGGTACTTATATATCTGTTATACAGAAGTTGATGTTTTGGCACCCTTGCAAGAGGGATTGGTAATCAATGGATCTAATTTGTTTGCGTACTTTTAGAACTGAAAGATTTAGGAAGATGCAAGGATTTTTCTTTGCTCTTTTCAAGATGCAAGGGATAAATTTGTGATAGTCTGTGTACTTCCTCTCTTTTTTTACTGATTGAGAAATTCCTTTCCTTTTTCTTTTGGGGTGGGGTGGGATATTAGTGAGTGTACCTATGATGTACATAAACTGGGGAGTATTGTTTGGTGGTTGGATTTTAGCTGCACAACCTGATGAGCCTGAAATCTCATTTCAAGTTAATCACGATTTTCCCACCCGGCTATATAATCTCTCAAGAGGCTGCTAAATAAGTATAGTTGATTTGAGTTGCCGGTTCTTTGGTGGTTGTGTTTGTGTGTTACCAGCATCGTAAAAGCCAGTAACTAAACAAGTATAGTTGATTTTAGCTGGTTTTGTGTAATGTGATGCCTTGTATTCCAAAACATGAACTAGTATGCTACCATTTTTTTTTTGAGTGGGATCGGATCGTATTTCTTTATTTACTTTTAAAATTATAATTTTTTAACCGTAAAAGCCAGTAACTAAATCTTGTTTAATTTAATTTATTACTCTAATTTTTTTATTACATGTTGCAAATTGTTTTCCTTATGGTGGTAGCCAAATAGGGGATAAACATCAATTGAATTCTTGTTTGGTCAGATTTCTTATATTTTCAAAATAATTTCTCAAGTTCCGATACCTGGTTAGAATGAAGATTGCAGTGCCCATTGTCAAGCCAGGTTCATCTTTAAATTTGATCATAGGATTCTTCTCCAGTTTTTTCATTTGTTGAACAAATCTGTGACGGACGTGTCAGTTTCGCGTCTGCAATCATCACTCGGCAGTTCTAATCAGTCTCCAGCGATCTTTAGTTGAATTCCTTAATCTGTTGAATAATGCAGTCGGCTAATTGTCAAATCCAATCTACAGAAGTGTCTCACTCAACTAGTTAATAATTTCCATGGTTTAAAAAATGGGGGTTGCAAACAACTTTGATAAACGAAGGAAGGAGATTCCAAAGGGCATGGAAACAGTGGTGTCTCACCCTAATAGTTGAAGCAATGCGCCTCAAATTGATACGAAACACTAGGTGTACCTTGTGCAAAAGAAAAATTATCAGATGAACTAGTTTGTGTGGGCCTTTGAAAATCTTGGTGGGGTGGAGTGAACCATGTAAGGCAACTCAAGGAAACGACCATCGTCCTGGGAACAACTCATTACCACGGGATTGGCAAAGAGCCAGAATCAGCATAAGCCCACTCAAGATATTCGGCCCCCAAACGGGTGAACCTTCTGATGGGAATGTGACAAGCACGACTAAAAGTCTGTTCATCCTTCCCTGGATTTCAGAGGTTCTAAGACACGATTGGCGTGCAGAAACCCTGAAAATAAACAAGAAAACAGGACAACTATATATAAGGGCACAGATACTGAAACACATTCAAACCATACCAAAAGAACACAATTTATTAATCTTTTGGCTGGCACAAAGCACAGGGTCCACATCGAACATAGTTTATAAATGGGCACTCTTGCTATCAATTCTTCACAAAATTATGCATGGATGCAAAGTAAATAAAAGCTTTAAAACAGGAGAAAGAGAGAGAACGGACTCGCTTTAAGTGCCAGTACTTGTCCGAGGAGGAAAAGCGCAGCTGTCTGGATAATTTATAATCATGTAAACTAAATTAGCTGCTGCTTCTCGAGACGAAGTAGAGTAGAAGCAATCATACCCTTCAGGTTTCTCCATGAAGCCACTCTTTTAAATGTGAATTTATCAAGGCATTCCTCCAAAGATGAAGCATCCCCATGATTTTCAATAGTTAAATCCATCATATTCTCATATTGATTTGAATACTTGTTACAATTTGTACAATTCACCTAAGAGGTTTTAACCTGGTGATAAAGTATTAGATATCATAGTATAAATTTAAACATAAACAAAGTAAGATATCATTTGTTCAAAATCTTTATTAGTCATTTGATAACTCGTGCCACCTTACAAATGTAATTGTTCAATCTAAAACCTAAGAAGTGCACAACGTGGGGGTTCTATAAGCTGATTATATACAAATCCAGCCCAAAACGAATTTATATACGGGCCTATAATATAATGCTCATGAAGATGGTTAACAATATTGAACTTTCGCTCTCTGTGGGCTCTGGTAGGAGAAGTGGGGAAGGGGATAATTTCTTCTGCACCGCTGAATTAAATGTATTAGCACTAAAGTATTTGTCATTAGCCTTTTGGTTGAGGCATAGACCAAAATGTTGCTTTTTTATATTTAATATATAATATAGGTGATATATATATATATATGGTTTAAAATCCATTTATATAATGTAAAAAAATTAGTTTTATAAACAATATACTCGTTAGATAGATGAAAATATATGACCGAGATTAATTTTTTTTGATTTTTTAATAAATATTTTCTTATTTTCAACTAAGTCATATGAATTTTTATAAAACTAAAATAAGTTTATATTATATATATATAAGGTAGGAAATTTTAATTATTTAAGTAAAGATAAAATGTAGCCTACCCATATTCGTGTGTCAAGTGCTCATATGGTTACGACCTGTCTAATACTAAAATATTACAATGGCTCTTTTCTACTGATTTTCGATAAAAAAAAAATATAGGGTGATTCATGGTTCTTTAAACTGAGTTATGGGGTGTATTTGAGGACCTATCTCTTGTTTGGATAAATAATTTTAAACGTATTATTGTTTAAACAAACAATGGTTATAAATTAAGGATATCAACGTCGATAACCTTAATTCATAAACTAATAATTAGATTTCTTACCGAACTTTTTAGATTTATAGAGTGAATATCATATGCTTAACCTTTTACTTTCTAAACTCTAAATTACGATGTATTCATTTACGGTTTTAGATACTTGTAAATATTTGGTTTGTTTCTTTTTTTGATTTTACTAAACACAAATCTGTGTTGATTTTAGATATCAACATATAATTCAATTAATTTAGAATAAGATACTAGTATTCTGGATTTTAAACTTGCAGTTATCCCTAGAATGACTAATACCAGGGTGATCCCAGTGTATGTGTACTTTAGTGTGGACGCGTGCCCAATTTAAAATCGATTTTTTTTATGTTAGTTGTTGATTTTAATGATGATGTCTACTTTGAAATTTTGTTTGTGTCTGTCTCGTACGAATTTTTTTTTATTATCAACACATATGTGTTCATCCTAACAAATATTTTTGGATCGTCAATTGAATTGTATTTTTAATTCTCAGTGTCCTAATTCATTCTTTTACAAGCTCAACTACATAAGAAATGTCGTATATATTAGTTTATGAGTTAAGGTTATCAACGCTGGCTATTTGGGTTTGAAGAAACAACGAAGGAAAGTCAACTTTGTAAATGTTTCCTCCAAGTGTATAGGTGAAGCTTTATATTTAGTAAAAGCAGACCACTGCTTTGGCTTCTAAGATTTGTTGTGTTAAGTGTATCTCAAGTCATTAAACCATTAATCTTAAATAAAAACAAACGAAAATCACATGCGGAAGACAATAACATTGTTATGGGTGCAATAATTGGTAACACCCAAACATAATTAATTTGGTACACGGAGACCTGCCTAATTGCTTTTCTTTCTTTCTATAAAGAATTTATGCCTTGTTTTTGTTCATCAGTTTAGAATTGTTACATATGGATAGGGGAAGGTACCTATTAATGAAAAGTTGATAATATCAGGAAAAAAATATTTCTTTTTCTGCATTATAGGGTGGAGGGGCATCCTCTGTTTTGTCTGTGATAAATCCAACAGAAGAACCCAATTCAGTTCAAGCACGTGTAGTTATTCATTGAAAGCAAGCCAAGCATTTATTTAGGTTTAAATACCTTTTCCTCATGAAAAGAAGCAGATGACGAAAAAAGGCTATAGCTCCATGAATATTTTATGTCAAAGGATGTTTATGCTTGTTCTGGTCATCACTAGTCGAAGCAACCCTTTATATACAAAGGCTTTGCTTTTTTTTACGTGGTAAAAAGATATGATAATGACATGCACAAGTCGTCAAAACCGAGGGGAGAAGGGTTAGGGTTAGGGGCGTAGTAGGCAAGGAAACCCGGAGTGGTGCTGCCCACTAAACCCGGTTTGTACGATTACCGAAGTCTATTATAAACCCCCCAAAGCAAAGAATCAAAAGTAGATGAAGAAGAGGCCAGTGTTTTCTTCATGCAGTTGATTTGCTGCTTTTGTGGTTAATGTTACAGCAGTAGACATCATGATGAGAAAGACAAGTTGAAGAAATAAACTAAACGAGAGAATCGAGAAACCGATGGATTAAAAACAAAAATTTTGTGTTCCAAATGAAATCTAAAGGTGTGGATTCGGATGGGTAACATCCAGGATTTGTGGGTTTGGATTGCATTCCTTGATTTGGTTTCCTCTTCATATCCCTAAACTCAGTATGATAGCATGGATGGCTTTACTCGAACGTCTCCCAACTAGGGACCGACTACAAAGAATGGTAATTTCAACTCCTGGAACTTGTGTTCCCTGCAGTGCAGCACTTGAAACTCACACCCACCTTCTCTTTGATTGCCCACTGCCACTCATTTACGGGAGAAAATCTTATACAAAAATGGAATCATGAAATATTTTACTTCTTGGGATGACATGATTGACTGTGCTAGCAACAATTGGAAAGGAAGGTCCCTCCTCACAACTATTTTTAAACTTGCTTGGACTGCAAAAATCTATGTTTTGTGGGAATAGTGCAATCGAAGAATTTTTCAAGCAAGATCAAGAACAACCGAAG